AAGTTATGCCGCGTCTAGTGGAAACATCGCTCATGACAGATCCACAAATTCAGACGGCTGTTTGTGTTGGTAGCGGCGCATTTGAAGTTCTTCTCATCGTTGAACCGTCGTCACCTGTCCAGGTAAGTAATTTCAAAAGGCATGTATGGGACTTGGTCAAGTCTCTCAACGAGACTCTGGACCAACATGCTCGAATATCTTCGATCAACGCCATCATTGTCAAGCGCCCCAGTAAGACAATTCCTCGATCAGATAAAGGTTCCGTCATGCGCCGGGAGGTTGCAGACCTGTTCCAGGAGGAAATTAAGGCTGCCTACGCCAAGTTGGATAATGAGGTGACTGCGGGCGATGCCATTACCGACACATCTGATATCGTCACGAGTGTCCAAAAGATGGTCAGGGCGGTGGCGACGAACTTGTTCTCCGATTCTCATTTGGATGTTGGCGAAGAGGATGATTTGTTCGAGCGGGGCATGGACTCCCTTCAGTGTGTTCGGCTGGCCAGACTACTCAATTCGGCCCTGAGCGAAAAGCATGCCAGGTGCGAGGCCAATTCTCAGCAACTGATCACCAAGGAGTTTGTTTACGCGCACCCATCCATTTGGCGTCTCGCTCAAGCAGTAACCCAGTTACTCTATGAGCAAGGAGAAACGACAGGCGGCAGTACGGAGTCTCAGGACACTCCAGGTCCCGCCTCACGACTGAGTAACATTCGGGCGCTTTTGGGTGACTGCGTCCGAGATATCCGCGCCCAGACCACGCCCGGAAGCCCAAAGACCATTTTCACTGTCGCAGTTACTGGAGCGACTGGTAATCTTGGCGCCAATGTCGTGGCTCAGCTAGCTTCCAACCCACTGGTCAAGAAAACCATCTGCCTCGTGCGAGAAGGGACTGGTGGACAGAGCACCCCCGAACAGCGTGTCAGAACAGCTCTGGGGGCTGCTGGCCTGAGCTTGAGCCCACAGCAATGGGGTAAGGTCGAGTTTGAGCAGTGCAACCCAGGCCAGTGGGCTACGGGCACAAATTGCTTCCTGGACACTCAGTCCAGCTTCAGCAGAGTTGCGGACCAGGTGTCCCATATCATCCACCTGGCGTGGCCGATGGACTTCCATCGCACGCTCGAAAGTTTCCGGCCGCAACTCCCGCGCAACGCAGGGACTGATTCGACTTGCCAGGGCTGCACGATTGCGCGGCGCCGGGGCAGCCACAGGCCGGGTCCGCCTCGTCTTTGCATCGTCCATTGCCGTGGTGCGGGGCTTTTCCGATGAGCAAGGTTCCATGTACGGCCCCTCTGCAACGGGCGCCGTCCCGGAAATGGGGTTTTATGACCCGCGCATTGCCACGCCCATGGGCTATGCGGAAGCGAAGTGGGTGTGTGAGCAAATGCTCGCGCAAGTCAGTCAAGAGCTGCGGGACGAAGTTGAGCCTGTTGTTGTGCGCATCGGGCAGCTCAGTGGGCCAGAGAGCGGTGAGGGCATATGGAAGACGGCAGAGCACATTCCCGCGCTGGTGAAAGCGAGTCAGATGGTGGGGAGTTTGCCGACTCTTGAAGGGGTAAGTTTTGTCTACCTTTTCATTTCTTACGTGGCTCCTCGGACAGTGATGCTAACATTCTTCGTCTCACAGACAGCGTCGTGGCTGCCTGTCGACCGTGCTGCCAAATCTCTTGCGGAAATAGCTTTACACGCAGCGGATGTCCCTCTGTTCTTGCACCTGGAGAATCCTGTCCGGCAGCCCCTAGCCGATATCTGCGCCTTTTTTGCGGCGGAGCTTGGTCTGCCCACCAAGACTATCTCATTTGAGGAGTGGATGCAACAGTCTTGTGATGCTGGGGCACTTCGCTCGTTAGAGCGGTTTTTCAGGGACCATTTTCGGCCTTTAGCTGGCGGGTCTGTAGTGCTCGATACCGCGAGGGCTTTGGCTGTATCAGAAACTTTGCGAAGTAGCGGAGGGGTCCCTCAGCAGCTGATTGCGAAATATGTGGCGCGGTGGCGGAAGGAGGGCTTTCTCGAGTAGTGGCCGAGAATCCGTAGATGCAAAAATGCCATCAGTCATGATACATTTCCGTCTCATACACGTCGCAGAAAGATTTTCAGAGCACAATCACACATCAAGGTTTGACGCCAAGGTTTAAAAGTCCCCAAGGCTATTATACCATCAGCGCGGAGTCGACTCGTTTGATGGGGATGCATCAGTAAACGGCCGAAGAATGAACGTGCCCATTAAACTTTAGCCATCATGGAATCATCCATCAGACCCATCCATCGCTTGTCCCACAAGAAGTTAACGAAGCACGACTATCCTGATTTTAAGTTTCGGAAGGGAGCGTAGAGAAGCACGTGCTGTACTTTATTTGAAACTGATTTTTTGCTGCTGTCTAGCCGAGGTGAAGTAAAAGGCGCGGACGTCACTCTGATGCAACTTGGGATAAGGTCAAGGCACACCGTGCATTGATCAGCTTGCAGAAGATCTGGGATGCAACGATAAGGGAGCCTACATATTGCATTACGCATTATGCATCGCAGTCAGTTGTCGTAGTCACATCTTTCCAGGCCTCCAAGCTGGCCCGGTTGCGATCTAGATTCCCCGAGATGATCTCGTAAGCGTCCCTCCCCACAACAAGTCGCGGCGGCAACTCTCGACCAGCGGCCCTTCCCGTACCAGTGAGTACCTCGGCGATGACCGAAGCTCCTTTAGCCGGATCTCCCGGTTGTTGGCGGTCATACGCGTCCAGAGCGGTGATGGTCCCGTCGACCCCGGCCGCCAGGTCGTCAATGACCGTGGCAGCGCGTGTTCGGTGGCCCGGTGCAAGGAAGTTGGTGCGGAAATATCCCGGCTCGATGCAGACAACCTTAATGCCCAGGTGGGCGACCTCGAGCCGCAGTGACTCGGAGATCATGGCGGCGCACGCCTTGGTGGCGCAGTACAATCCTGCAGCTGGCGAGCCGGACCAGCCGCCGATGCTGCCAAGGTTGGCAATGATGCCGCTCCGCTGCTTCCGCATGACGGGCAGTACGGCTCGGAGAACGTTCAGCTGCCCGAAAACGTTGGTGTTGAATGTGGCCTGGACTTCGGCGCGGCTACATTCCTCCACGCCACCGGACAGGATGTATCCGGCGTTGTTAACGAGTATGTCAAGCTTGCCGCCCGTCTTGGATAGGAAGCCATTGACGGACGCAGCAAGGTTTTCGTCTGTGTCGGTAACGTCCAGTCGTTCAACGATGGCGCCTTTGCTGGCAAGATCCGTGAGGGTTCGGGGGTTGCGGGCTGTGGCCACGACGGTGTCTCCGCGGGCGAGGGCTGCGAGGGCAATTTGCTGGCCGAACCCGGAGGAACAGCCGGTGATGAGCCAGACTTTGGACATGACGGTGATTTTTTAAAAAAAATTAATTGATGTGTCTGGAAGGCCAGGAGGTCGAGATTGCAAGGGGTTTGGGGGTTTGGACGGCAGTGGGTAGATTCACATGGAAACAAGAGGCCTGCAAACGAACGCTTCCAAGGCGAGGTAATCTGGCACTTTTGTGCCAATGCAGCCAGACTTCAACCTGTTGGCTTCTTGGTGTTGGCCATAGTCTATGCACACCTATCTGATGCGCCTTGAGTGAGCACCAAGGCTGAGGTGAGGTTGCATCTGCAGGGACCGGAGTACGGCACCCCCATGTCTTTCACGTTACGACGGGAGTGTGGATTCTTGATTGCTGGCTGCCAGGCCCCGTAGCAGCCACTGCATGGTAAGTGCATAAGAATCAAGGCTTGGCAGATTATCGGTCGGCCAGATCTTAACACCGACAGTTGGCCCAGAAGGTGTGGTGGAACGCGGTTCTGGAGGTGCGCCAGACCCTGGCAACGCCGATAAAGCCGATGGGGCGTCGAACCATTCCAGCATACCGTTTGATGCAAACGACTCAGTACACTGGATCCATCTGATGCGTATTTGACTTCGTGATGGAATCGCTACAGATCTTGAGTCTAATTTTCTTGGCGAATAGAAATTCACTGACGCTGATCTTGCTTTCGCTCAGAGACAAAAGACCTGCTGTTTGTTTGCAGTGTCGCCGATTCCCTCTGGCCGAGTTGCAACGCTTGCTGCCGCTAAGTGGGCCGGCTGGTGGGTGAAGCATTTTTCGAGGTTTGCCTAGGTCAATTGTTACTTTCACAGATGCCCTCACTTGAAATCCGAGAGTTTGCTTTCTAAAAAGGCTGTGTAGGTTGTTTGACCCCCAAAGACTGCTTTGAAATACGGGAAGAACGTATCATCACCACGGGAAAACGCGAATGCTCCCTTCACACATCAAATGAGGCCTACCAGCCTACCGCGACGTAGATCAAGTGCAGTATTGCCACTTTGGTCATGATGCACGTTTGCAATGTGTCCTCTATTTGTTCGCTATTACATGGCCTGCTGCAGAGGTCCCGAAATGCACCCTTCACATGACAACTTCCATCTTTACCCTTCCCTTGATTGGTTTGGTGACATCGATGAGATATTTGACCAGCTCATGGTCACATTCCTCCGCAACTAGTACCACGCTGAATGACGAAGACCTCTTGTCGCCGCCGCCCGCTATGCTAAAGTCTGGTTCTGTCCCGCGCGGATCTAGCCCCTCGATGAACTGAAGGGCACCCGTAGGAGATTCAAGTTCATTGAAGGTCTTGGACAAGTGGAGCTGCCCCTTGTTATCCAATTCGAGATCAAACATGTTCGTGAACGTCTGGCTGGCGTGGCTGCCCTCGCTGGGCGCCGCCGCAGAGGGGGACAGTGCGCCATCAGCATTGGTGAATAGCCAGCTGGGCTCGTCCACTGCCCTTGTAGGGCATACTGAGAATGTGCGCTGTGAGTTGCTGAAGAAGGGAGAGTCTGTACAGCCATCCATCATGGCGTCTCCATAGCTGGGATCGCCCTCCAAGTTGAAGCCGAAATCGTCAGGAAAAAATATTTCAAACTCCGGGGTAGACTGGTGTCCTGCTACGCCGGCGCTCACCGATTCTGGAACTTCGAGTGAATCATTACCAGCAGAGAAGTAGTGAAGATCATCCTCAGCACAATGCATCATGTCATTGCTTGGATCGAGGGAGTCGGGGATGTCGTGCGAGGATTCGCCTGAAGGGTTCAGAGGTGATGCCACCTCAGACGGTGACTCTCCCGGAGCGCCAGCAGCAAGTCGGCGGCTGAGAATGGTATATCTGGAGATGAGGAAGAAGGTTAGTAATTGACAACTCTTCCAGGTCTACATGTTGCTAGCCACGAATGGTGGTGTCGGTTCAGTACAGTTGTACCATGAGCTATGGTCAACATATGAGGCGTGCCCCCACCTACGGATGCTGCTTACCGGTTCTTGACGTCTGTTCTCGATCTGCTTGGATAGTGCTGCTGGCAAATGAACTTCCAGTCGTGGCCGAACGACTGGACTAACTCGAGCAAGAGGTGGTCCTCCAAGAGTATGTCAGATCAGCCCAAGATCAAAAGCTATAAATGAACAGAGAAGGGAGTTTGTCTCACCTCGCCAGAGGTCCACTGTCGATGCCCGAGCTTGGGATCCAGGGTGTACTGCCATCGTTTGGCACATTCTGACCCATAATTGCGATCAGCATCTTGACTCTTTGCTTTCCCGTGTAGCCGCTATGCCTTGGCATCGCCAGCTGCCAGGTGGGTTTGAGCAACCTGGTTTTCCCAAAAGTCATCTCGCCTTCCATAGAGTGACCGAGGCAAAGCGGAGAATGCGGGTAAACGGATGGTGGGGTGCATCACAATGTGGTCGTTGGTTAGGTAAAACACGCGAAGGTGTACTCACGGTCAGAGCTGCGAGACCCGAACTCCTGGGAGATCAAGGTCCATCTGCATCGTGTCAGTCTTGTGTACTCTTGGCAAAACAATCATCGTCGGTTCCATATGTGGATTTGCGAATGATCGAAATTGCTCGGCGGTTCCTACCTTTGGCCGTACTTCTCCACAGCCTGCCGAAGTTTTTGATCTTCGTCCTCGCTCCACGGTCCAGTTCTCAGGCCGCCGCGTACTTTGTTGAACCAGCGCTTGCGGCAGTCCTTGTTGGTGCGGTTCGCCAGCTTTGCCGCGATCCGATGCCAGTCTTTAATTGGGCCCAGGGATGCTGGTAGAGGGTAGTGTTAGGGACGCAGCCAGGCAGATGTGAGCTGGAGCTTCCAAGCTCGGCGGGAGACGATATACTTGCCTTGCTTGATGGCTTCCTCGTGGAGAATGGCGTCCTCTTCTTCCGTCCAGCGCTTGGGCTGCCTCGGGCCTTGCACGGTGTCCATGGCGTCCTGGCCTGTGTGCAGGAGGGAAATCGAATAGTGCAGTGTATTTCAAATAACAACACAGCTTTCAGTTCAGGAAAAGGTGAAAGAAAGAAGGGAAGAATGCAAAGCCTCAATAACTATAACTGAACAACTAAAGGTATAATTCTGACTTGTTAAACATAACCGAACGAGGACTGATTGTCGAAGCTACTCGCTAAGAAGAGCGAGTCCCGCTCAAATATGCCCCCCCCCATCAGTATGCGTACGGGCTGATTGCGTTATACACCAGATAGAACTCATAGTGGCTTTGCCCCGCAAATGGCAGGCATTAAGCATGAGTTGTAGATGCATGTGAAAAGGTCGGAGCCGACCCGGTCTGACTGGGGTGAGCTGTGGGGCCGAATGCGGGCTGAGGTCGCCGTGGGGGTGGGCTTGACATGACTGAGACAGGCGAGGCCGCTGCAGCCAAGACAGCGGCAGGCAAAGCAGGGACGAGGGGGCAAGGCAAGACTACTCCTGAATAGGTACCTTTCTAGGGTAATGATATGTCGACATGACTATACTGCCACCAGAATAGTCGCTTTCATTGCGTTTTACTTCTCTTTTGGATATTGTACGTCGGTGTACGAGGAATTGCCTTTGCTACTGCCGAAACTCTAAGCACGCTCGGTTACCGCGTTTTACTTCTACTTTCAGGGCGTTCACAGCGTATTGCCTGATAGCACTCTACCCGCAACCGATGCTACGGGACAGGGCACCTGACTCCTTGGAAAGAATGTCACCCATCCAGTAGCACATGATTTAGATGACAGCCATGAACAGATACAGTTTGCGCTCAATGCGTGTAATCGTAATCAAACCTGCCAGTATCGACGGAGAAAGCCGTTATAGGATGGGGGAAACGAACTGCGCAATTGTATGGGGCCGGCGATATTATTCAGAGGAGGTTTCACAGTCTATAGTATCTGCGAGGCAGCTGATAACGTGGCCAGATCAGTGCTACATCCCCCAAAGGTTGCTGGCCCCTCCAGGCCGGACTGCTGTGTTTGCATTCTGTGCGTCTCTAATTGATCATCTTAGCCCAGCCGTTTGCTTCAGAAGGCAACAAGCTCAAGGACACAAGCGCTACAGCTCAGAGTTGGGCAGGACAACTTCAACCAGACCAACCTGGCTACGGCAGTCCCAGATCTTGCGCAGCCGGAGTCCGGCACGTTCCACTAGCTCCCGGAACTCGTCAGGCTTCCGCTCGATGCCGTTGATGATCGCCATCATAGCCAGGTCCCGCTGATGCGAGTATCTTGTGTAGTAGCCCCAGTTTGGCAGCAGGGGCTCGGGCGCTGGAGGTAGGTCAGAGCACCCATGAGTTGTGTTCATGACTTGATCGCTGTTACGGGCCGACAGCAACTGGATCAGCAAGCTTATTCCTAGGGCTCGCGGAAGGAGGGGTCATGATCCAAGAGGGCGGAGCAGTGAAGGGAACAGGGAGAAAAGGGGGAACAGGGAAGAGGAGCGGGGGGTACAACGGAGGGGCGGAGGTAGGTCCCGCGTCCCGGGTCTCATCGCTGACTTACCAGATCAAGATGCGGCTTCTAGGACCCATGCTCTGTCTGATACCGCTGAGGATGCGTACACAGTAGTCGTCTGACCAGTCATGCAGCACATACCGGAGCCAATATACATCCGCTTCGGGTACGGGGTTTTTCTCAAAAAAGTCATGTACAACAAACCGAATTCGACCTGCGGCAAGAGCCGCGGGGTTCTCGCGCGGCCAGACCTCATTCTGGGCCTTTTCGATGGCCGGGCCACGGTCCTGAAGGACGAACTTCAGATTAGGGTAGAGATGAGAGAGTTGCAGACAGAAGCCACCTGAGATACATCAGCAACAGCGTCCGCTCGGCCAGAATATAGTTCGACGTCGAGGGCCGAGAATTGGGGGTGATGACGAGTGGCGCACTATCAATACGGTTGTAGGACAATGCCTCGAATAGAAGAGGGGACTCGGAATGATGGAGCATTGAGAGTTCGGACGAATGAGGGCAGAGATAGAGGGCGTCAGACATCGAAAGAGCGGTGCGCCTTACCTACGCCTCCACCATCATCAACTTACAGTGGCGCTCCGAGAGTCGCCCAAGGGAAAGTCTGTTCGAGATACACATTAGCATGTTTGTGACGGACCTGCCACGTAAGCTGTGAGATGAAAAGGCCGTCCGTTCGCTCTGTCGACATTCAAAGCAATTGGTCGGACGTACCATGTAGGTGAGCTCGACCGAATACTCTGCCACCGCCGACCATGGCCAAGCTGAAGATGGCGTGTTCCGGCCTCGAAATAGGCTGGCCATCGCCGACCCCACTGTTCACTACCCTACTCAGTTCGGTACCAAACACACCCGGGTACGGCGTCTTGGGGCTGGCTGCAGCGGCGTCACCCCCCCTGGCCCCCGGCACCGGGAGCACTAGGGGAGGTGCGTGCGGCGGTGTCCGTGTCAGTCGTTCCCTGAACGGCAGCATTGTAACCCTTGTGCAAGTCAGACGCGCTGGTTTTCTCCTCAAGCCAATCCCATCGGGACTTGGAAACACCCAAGGCATCCTGCCATGCCGTCTGGTCAACGGCATAGGATGAACCTTTGACAGAGTCATGAAGAGCTCGTGGAAGATGGTCGGAAGCCGTGTACAGATCAAGGCCACTAAAAGACGAGCTCAGTTACGTGTCATGATACAATATAAGCTTTGTCCGTGCGTGCGGGAGCCGCCGGTCCCTGCAACTTACAACAGGAGGATATAGGCGCGCAGGGGCTCGTTGTCGACGAGCCCTGCAGAAACGGCGTTATTGGCGAAGACGTCAGGCTCCACTTCGGTAAAGATATGAATCGAGCACAGGCAGCGCAGTAATCGCGCTGTCGCCGGAAACAAACAACGGGGGCCATGTTAGCCACCATTGTACGAGGTTAGTGGGACAAGGGAAGTTGGGGGATGGACGGCAAGTGGGGGAACACTGCAACGCATGAATCGCCTTCCCCCTCAGAAGGGCCCAGCGTTTACCAAGTGGGTTGAGACGCGCAACTTACAGAGCTTCCGAGACTCGATGCCGGCTTTGGCGGAGAGGAGATCAATGGGAACACCTCTAGGGGCAGTCTTGGCGAGTAGATCCGGGATGCGTGCATCTGCGGCTATGTGCAGGGCCCGAGCTTCAAAGTACTGAGAAGAAACTTCGAGCAGGCGGTTCTCCGGCTGGCTAATCAGCTCGGTAAGGCTGCCGGTAGCGGCTTGCAGGGCGCGCTGGGCGTTGAAAACGCTCCACGGCGGGAGATCAGAAGGCTCAGTCCCGTTGCCTGTAGCTGTCACAGCGCGACGAGACTCAATCAACTGGGTGATATTGGTCTGGATTAGCTCCCCCAGCTGCAGCAGGCGGTCGGAGACTGCGTCGGCGGTTCGAGTCATGGTTGCTGTCGTTACGTCGTGGGGCGAAGCAGCGAGTGGTGGATGTGCTAAGGTGGCAGCGATATCTATCCGGTCAAGCCGTAGGAGAGATCGAAGTCAGTTTGAAACCAGGTATCTTACTCGGTTCTAGAATGACAAGGAACGGGTCGAATATGCAATCGTTTGAAAGCAAGCAATGGCGATCTATTCTAGTCTCGACAGCTCAATTTTATGTCCCGTTGAGACCAGCAACCCGATTCCCCGCGCACGTGACAGATGGACACCTGATAGAGAAGCCAACAACACGATCGCGAGACCGAAACAAGTCTACATGGCTCCGCGGGACCGGAGTATGTCGGCCCTCAGTGTCCGTCTTTGTGGGACCCAGACTTGTAGAAACGCCCCGAGGGGGATAATCGTGTTGTCCGCGTTCATGTTTCGAAGGGGTCCGAGGTGCCTATGCAAATACAATCGGGACTCAGCATTGTGATATGTACGGTCCTACCTTTGGAAGAGTTAATCAAGCTGGCTTACCACCAAAACGAAACCAATAAGCAAGCTAGAACCCACGTAGCTTTCACTCCATCTTCCCACAATCTCTATTACAATGGCGACTAAATCGCCCGCGTACACCTGGGAGAACGGCTTCCGTGAGTTGGATTTATCATCGGCCTCGGAAACTCCCTGGTCTTGGCCTAAGAGCACTGTCGACGATAATGGGGATCCAGCCGCGGATCGCACGGGCGCCTACGTCACGCCTCCGTCTGTGGACCTTACCACTTCACTTACGCATAACCAGCTCGGCATCAACGTTGTTCGTCACTGGCCCAGCCTTTACGATGGCACCAACAGCCCTCACGGGGTGCCGTCGTGGTGGGCGCCAAAGGAGGAAGTTGACGTCCTCATCTGTGGAGGTAAGCTCTCCCCGTCTTTTGATGGACCGAAAAAGTCTCAGTGCTAACGGACGACATGTGCAGCCGGCCCCAGCGGCCTCCAAGTTGCCGTCAGCCTAGCGAGACAAGGGGTCTCGTTTCGCATCATCGGTATGTTAGCATGGTGATGGCAAGATCCTCTCCATGTCATTTATTAGCATCATCAACTTGAGTGCTAATGAAACGGTTACGCTTTCAGACAAGGCTGACACGCCGCTCGTTGCCGGCCGCGCCGATGGTGTGCAGCCCAGATTTCTCGAAACCATGTCTCAGTGGGGGCTCTCGACAGAGGTTCACGAGGAGGGCCCTCTGATTGAGCGCACTGCCATCTACAAGGACGGCCGTAAGCTCTTGTTCAATCGCTCACACCAGTCAGACTCAAGATATCGTGGCCTGCATATCATCACGCAGGGCCAGCTCGAGCGCATTTATCTGAGGGACTTGGCGAGGCACAAGGTTATTGTGGAGCGGAGCTGCACCGCTGTCGATTATCGGGTGGAGGAGCATGGCACCGACGGCTCACCTCACACGCATCCGGTGCAGGCTACGTTGAAGAATGCCCACACCGGTAGGGAAACGTCTGTCAGGGCCAGTTTCTCGTTGGAAGTGACGGCGCTGCCAGCCCGATCCGCAAGTCGCTT